GTGGGAGGAGCTAGGGGGTGGGTGCATCTACAAGGAGGCAGTGGAGCTGGGAGTGGGCGTGGCTATGGGGAGGGGGGGTCTAGGGGCAGGGGGGGGTGGGAGGGGGGGGGGGGGGGGGGTGCATCTACAAGGAGGCAGTGGAGCTGGGAGTGGGCGTGGCTATGGGGAGGGGGGGTCTAGGGGCAGGGGGGGGTGGGAGGGGGGGGGGGGGGGGCATGACTATGAGTGGGTGGTTGCTGGAGGAGGGATGAAGCCAGTAGGGGTGTGGCTATGGGGAGTAGGTGGGGCTGTGGGGAGTGGGAGGAGCCAGTTGCGGGCACCGCTATGGGAAAGGGGAGGAGCCAGGAGTGGGTGTGGCTATGGAGGCTGGGAAGAGCTAGGAGACCAGGAGACGGGGTGTGTGGGTGGAGCTAGCAGTGGGCGTGGTTTCTTTTTAGGGTGGGCAGAGCTAGGCCAGTAGGGGTGTGGCTATGGGGAGTAGGTGGGGCTGTGGGGAGTGGGAGGAGCCAGTTGCGGGCACCGCTATGGGAAAGGGGAGGAGCCAGGAGTGGGTGTGGCTATGGAGGCTGGGAAGAGCTAGGAGACCAGGAGACGGGGTGTGTGGGTGGAGCTAGCAGTGGGCGTGGTTTCTTTTTAGGGTGGGCAGAGCTAGGAGTGGGTGTGGCTAGGAGGAGCGGAAGGATGGCTACCTGGAGCAGGAGGAGCTAGGAGAGAGGCATAGCCATAAGGAGGAGGCCCATGGAGTGGGCGTGGCTTTGAATGGGAGGGGGTTATAGCAAAGGGGCGTGGCTAGTGAGTGTGGGTGGAGCCAGGAAGGGGCACCAGACAGAGCCCAGGCTTGGGCAGGCGTCCCTGGGTGGGCAGAGGGGGGTGGGGCCAGGCCCAGGAGGCGGGGCTACCTGGATAGAGCACGCGGCTGATCATGCCGGGCAGCACCATGAGGAACATGGGCAGGATCTTGAGGTACCCGCAGAGGATGCAGCCACCCTTGACGTGCACCAGCGACCGCCCGGCCAGGCACCGCTGCACGATCACCTGTGGGCACCCAGGCGTCCGGGACTGCCCCCCAGCTGGTGTCTGGGGGCACCCGGCCTGCACCCTGCGACCAGCTCTGGGGTGGAATGGCCTGGCCTAAACCCCCCCTGGAGCCCCTGAATGGGACTAACCCCTATCTCCCAGCCCCTGGCTTCATCAATGCCATGATGCAACATGCTCTGGGGTGGAACAACTGAGTGTGATGGTGCCTAAAGCCCCCCCTGGGACTGCCTGAATGGGGGCAAACCCCATCCTCCACCCCCTGGGGTCATTGGTGCCATGAAGTGATCAGCTCTGGGGCACATCAGGCGAGCGTAACGCTGGCTAAAGACCCTGTTAGGGGTGATACATCTGTATTGGGACCCCCCGGATGGGGGCAACCCCCATCCCCCACCCTCTGGGGTCATTGGTGCCCTGATGCAACCTGCTCTGGGGTGGAACGGCTGAGTGTAATGCTGCCTAAAGACCCCATTAGGGCTAATACGTCTGCACTGGGACCCTGTGAATGGGGGCAACACCTATCCACCCCGCCCCGGGGTCATCCATGCCCTGATGCGACCTGTTGTGGGGTGGGCCGTGGCACGGTGGAACACCCTACCTGGTCGGTGCACCAGTACCAGCCCGCGTTGATGGTGAGCCCCACCAGGAGCCCGGGCCAGGGCAGGTCCCCGCTCACAGGGTCGCGCAGCAGGTGGAAGGCGTCTGGCCGCGGGCGGTAGCAGGCGGCCGACACGTTGTGGGTGGCCGGGGCAGGGGGCTGGGCCACGGCCTCCATGTAGCCGGCCACCAACCCTGTGTAGCCCCCCACCTCCCAGAAGGCTGTGGGGCACGGGGGCAAAATGAAGAGGCAGGCTCATTTGCTCCCCCCCACCTTGGCTAGCGAGGCCCACCAGAAGACCCCCCCATATCTGCCCCCAGCAGCCCTACTGGTGCAGAAACCCTCTTACTTGCCCCCCCAGCCCCTGTGGATCTGCCCCCTCTCCTCACCGAAGCCCATGAGGACGAAGGCACCGGTGACGATGACCAAGGTCTGTACCACGTCCGTGTACATCAGGGCCGCCAGCCCCCCTGGGGGAGGGGCCACGGAAGTGGGGGGTGGGTCAACAGTGGCCATGCCCCCTACTGGCCCCCAATGCCCCCCACAACCTCCCACCCAGCTCAAAGGATCCTAAACCCCCTCCCCTAGCCCCCTTGACCTGCCTCCCTTAGCTCCCAGAGTCCCCGAGCCCCTAAGGCCCGCCCCCAGCCTCAGTGCAGCACCTGTAATGGTGTAGATGGTGGTGATGATGAGGAGGGCGATGACAGACAAGTAGATGTCCCAGCCCAGGGCCTGCTGAATGAAGATGGCACCCGAGAACATGTCGACCTAGAAGGAGCACCGGGGAGCGGGGACTAGGGTCAGGGAGTGGGGGGGGGGCATCCCGGCCCCCCATTTCTCCCCCTTCCGTCAGCCTCCCCATGGCCATAGGGGCCTACAAAGCGGGAGGACCATAGAGCTGTGCGGAAGAAGCACCAGATAGTCCCCAATAGGGATCTACAGGGCTGAGCCCCCTGGAGAACTGGGGGCGGGACAGTACCGGCTCCAGGGGCAGATGGACTGATTCCTGTCCCCCAGGTTGCCCCGGTGACATCCCCACACTTGCCCCAGTGACCCCAGGCAGGGCCTACCGAGATCTTGGTGAAGATGTAGAGGAAGAGGGAGAGGACGGAGAGGTAGAGGCTGATGCGCTGCCCCCCGAAGCGCTTCTTCAGGTACTCGGGCATGCTGATCACCTGGCGGGGGGGGAGGGACCCAGGTGTCTGGGTGCCCAGGTCCCCCTTCGCCCCCCCCCTCCCGGGAACCCA